CCCCAAAACCCCAAAACCCCAAAACCCCAAAACCCCAAAACCCCACAGGACAATTTAAATACTGAAATGGGAGTAATAATAAAAATTAATAATTCCTTTCTACTTTACAGAAGATGACAAAAAATATCGATGAAAATGGTTGATGGTGCTGGCGTTTTAAATTTGTTTCAAAGAGAAAGAAAGGTAAAAAAAACAAGACAGAAGGTAAGCAAAAGATTCTACAAGCTTTAAGTTGCTACAAGGTATTGAGATGCTTTTGGTATTTAACAGCTATTTTAGGAACTAAATAATCAGACCCCAAACAGAAATAATAATTATGAAATGGGAGTATTTCCAATGATTAATGCTTATAATAAAGAAGAAGAAGAAAAGAGAGCAAAGCTGATAAGCCCCTTAATGATCAAAACTACAAAAAAAACTAAGAAGTCAAGTAGTACATCTTCAGAACAACGCCATACTAAGGAAAGCAACAGTACCAATGCTAACGAGGCCAAACGCCCCCAAAATAATGAGAAAAGAAATAAAAGTAACACAAAGGATCACACTTTCTGAGAATGATGGTAATATTGAAAAAGATAGCAAAGGTAGCTTACCTGAAATAAGAAACAGTCCCAGTTCCTATAATGAAAATTCAGATTCAAAATCTCATTATTCTGAAGCTGATGATCTTGAGATAGGACTTTGTACAAGTACATGAGAACCCAAAGGAATGATCAACGAATCCAATGATTGCTTTTTTATAGCCTGTCTTCAGTTCTTATTATGCATTCCTGAGTTTGTAGATTACTTAAAATCCTGGAAACCTGATAATCGAGAATCTCCAATATTGGAGTCATTAATAAAAATATCAAACGAAATTGACAACAAAGCAGATGAAAGCCCAGTCGATATCTCTCACTGAAGGAAGTTATTCAACGATGAGTTCGAAGAAGGCTACCAGCATTGTGCGAACCAATTAATCTTGGCTCTATTCGACAAGATCCAGTTCAGCTGCAACAATGTTACCAAAGTTTTCCAATGCTATGAAGAAAAAGACAGCGATAAAGTCTGGGAACAGTACCTCTCCGATAGGGGTTCCATAGTCGATAAACTCTTCGTGGGGATGTATAAAAGAAGTTTCAAGTGCAAAGAATGCTTAATCGAGCAGATCCATTATGACGAGTTCAAGAGCATTCCTCTTCCTTGCACTAAGGAATCTGGAAAATCTATGCCTGGGGTTATTAGCAATATTGGAGAGGAAGTGGAAGAGAGTACTTTCCTTTGTAAGAAGAAATGTAAAGGTGAGAGGGATTGAACTATAACAGCAACAATAATTCATTACCCTGAGTATCTTATTCTGCCTTTTCAGAGACAAGATTGTTTTACTCAAGAGAAGATTGAGGAGAAAATGTATTTTAATCAAGAATTTACAGAAGCTCACCACAAAATTGAGTACACATTACAAAGCTTCATCTTCCACATGGGGAGCCTTGATTCTGGCCACTACTTTAGCCTCTGTAAGGTAGGAGAGAGCTGGTACAAGTGTAATGATGAGAGAGTTACTAAGGTTGACCCTGAAAACTTAGAAGGTTACAAAGACAACGCTTATATTTTGATATACAAGAAGAAAGCTAATTAAATTTAACTCGCAATTCTGAATCTTAACTTTCTATTATATTGGATTTTTAGGGGTTTTGGGGTTTTGGGGTTTTGGGGTTTTGGGGTTTTGGGGTTTTGGGGTTTTGGGG